GGTGTGTCGGTAGCGCCGCGCACGGCCTGTGGCAGCCGAAAAACCGACGAGGAAGGCTATCCTGTTGGCCGTGGCCGCCGTGCAGCCACCGTAGGAACTCTATCCCAGGACACACCACCGTATCTCCTCCGTTCTCCTTGCCCCTCGTGTATATGTGTGTATTCACACGACGTAGCTCGCCGAGAAGGCAGCAGCGCTCACTGGCCCGTTTTAGCTTTCCTCTCTTGGCAAGAGCGACAGCGCGGATCGGGACGGAAAAAGACGTGCACCACGCCACGCGGGCAACGGAGAGGCAACCAGGCGAAAGGAGGCGGGCGAGAGTGGGGAGGGGGTGTGACGGAGCGAGAATGGCAGTGTGTACAGAGGGGGGAGGAGCGCTGGCCGGTGAAGAGAGAGGCAAAGACTCGCTGTCTGTTGTGCATGCCGGGGGAACGAGAAGGACACGTGCAGGGGAACGTGCGTGTGTGTAGGTAGTACCTGTGGCTACGCAGGCATCCACTCGGCGAGCCAGAGTCAAGGCCGCTCACTGCTCTGCCGTGAGAGAGCTACTAACTAGCACGGAAACCTTGCTGCCGTAGAGTATAGAAAACAGGCTGGCAACGTCCAAGTCTTATACACTTGCTAGATGATGCTCCCCTTATATTCTGGATGAACTTGGGCTGATATTGATATGGGTGATTGTTCCTTGGAAGTTCTGAAAGCTTTTTATGATGTTCCCTAGGTGTTTTGGCAGTATTTGGGATATGTTGAGGGCTCTTTCTGGCAGGTTACTTGGACCTTGAATGATAGTATACTTCTGATTTATTTGGGGATAGGCTCTGTGTGTATATGACTGGTATACTCTGTGGTCTGTTTGGGTAGAGTGCGGGTAGGACCTAGTTAGGAACTGCTGGAGAGATTCTTTATCTTTTGTGACGCTGGTGGGTGCTACGTTGCATGCCTATTGCCGTGTTGGTGCAGTTGAAGGTGCCGTGTGGTTATGTAATCTTGGAAAACAAGTGACAGAGGTTTTATAAGACCTGTTAAGTCTATCGTTCTACTTTGCTTTAGAGGATCTTGGAGTTGTTGTACATTGAGGATATGGTACCCTCAGTGGCCCAATTCGGAGAAACATGCAGGTCGATATTATTGTAGAGGATTTACGAATCCAGAATGGAGAAGGCAGTTCGGTCGTTCGGCTCTACATAGAGTCGTTATGTGCTACTTACTAAAATCTACACAAACTCGTTATGGTATCGATTTTAAGCCAGTACGGTCGAGTCATGCCCATGATTTATTCGGGTCTGAGTTTCTCCAGTGCTACCGGATTTCTCAGTCGCGGGATCGTTTTTTGGGGAACTGGTCTCTCGAAGTTTCGGCGAGAATCTGACCGTGGGAGGGGAGCCAAGTTTCGGTAACTCGTTGGTGAAGGTGTCTACTTAGCTTTATCCGCGACGCTATCAGGCGTTTCGATCGTAAATATCCCCTGTGCGTGATTGATGATCCCTATTCGTGATCACGTAGTCACAGTTTCACGAATAATTAACTTTCTAGCGATTTGTCATCGCCAAAAGGTCCCGTTGGCTGCTCTCAAATTGTGGAGGTAAGAGCCACGTGGGCTGGTGATCGATGCTGGAACTTCACTTTGGCTGGATTGCCGTAACCTTCGGACGGTGAACGTTTTGCATTTTAGAATATACTTCGTGATGTACTAGTCCCCTCATTGGACCGAATATAAATGACTACGAACTTCAAAGACCCAAGTGAATCTCAAGGATCGTCGTTCCAGGGTCAGCTTTCATAGCAACTTCTAGGTGTTAGTTGAGAGATTCTGGAATGAAAAGTTTCTAGGACTAGGCAAACAGAGCAAGGACACTCTGACTTTCCCAGAGAAAGCAAACAGACATAAAGATGAGGAAGAATTAAGCTATCGCACGCGAAAGGATCGCCAGTCGTCGTGCGTTGCCTCGATCAACGAAGAAGGGGGGTAATAACCGAGTGACCACCTAGCCCGGTCAGTGTCTCACTGTTCCAGGCGGATGTTTTCACAGCGATCAGTACTTCCGGGTAAGCCGGAGAGGCGGCAATTCATCCTCGAGCGTCCGTTCGCGGAATCGTTCAGAAGTAACCTTCGCTCTCCGCCGCGGTAGAAAATCTCGTTCCTTCGAATTGTTTCATTACAAGAACACTGTAAAACACGGTAAAGAAAACTGTAACGCCGAGAAAAATAATCCTGAGTTACAGTACATGTATTTATCTCGTGTCCACAGCCTGATGGTGGCTAAACTTGTCACCAATCCAAGCCTAATAACTTATCTGTTTTAATTAATTGTATCATACGCGATTATTTAATTAGAATTAATCTAATATTTCGTCTTACTGGCCTAGAATTAATAGGGAAAAGTAAAAATAAATTTCATAATTTAACTCTCTCGTATCCGAACCAAGTTATAGTTCCTCTTATGTGCTGTTCCCACTATTTTTTTTATTATTTCTTAGGTACTCTAGTTTTAAAATATTTTTCATTACATAGTAAACATTTGATATTTATTACATGTTATATAACACAATTATTATTCCTTACGATTACGTAGAAAGAAATGCGTAATTATCGACGAAATAACAAATAACAGATTAGAAAACAGATATAGAGAATTAACTATATATGAATATAGAAAATTAACAATAAAATGTAAGAATACACAAGGTTATTCCTTTATTGCAACATATTCGTACAAATATTACCCCCTTATTACAACCATTGGCGTAACTAGGATTTTTGTCTGAGGGGGGTCAAGTCCCCTGACTTTCGCCTATAACGCTCCCCAACGTGGGTTGCACAAACTAAAGTTACAGATTTTACAATAATTATTTACATATTTATTTAACACTAAAACTAAGAATAGGAAGATATAAACATAATTCTAAAAAATAAAAAAAAATACGAAAAGAAATTGGAGATTGATTAAAAGCAAGAGTATATTATGTACAGATACCTATAGTTAAAATCTATATAAACTTCAATTCGCTGTTTTTTTTTTTTTGCAAAAATATTTTTCGCATTCTGGAGCGCTAGTTTCCTTATTGCATTCGACCCTTCAATTGATGTTACAGGATTATTAGTTACAGTAGAATGTTAAAATTAAACAGCTTAATGCTAATACAATTTTATTTAATACTTTTACGTAATGAACAGAGTATTGTATTTTTTGTATTTACCCACATTTCTTTTTTCTAACACAAGATTTTACTAATTGACGAATGTTCTTTTACATATTTCAATAATTTTTGGACAAGCCCCTCCCTGGCCCCTAACCTAGTAACGCCAATGATTACAACATTTCGTACAAACACCATTCCCTTATCGCAACAATTTCGTGTTTTCTATTTTACAAGACAAGATACACGGAATCCAAGTCGCGTAATTTTTCTGAAACGTTGCACCAGTTGTGTCTCGTCCCATCCGCGGTCTCGGTTTCGCGGCGTATAGTCTCGAGGCTTCTTCATCCACGGGCGAGAGAGGCGTTCGATTCCGCTTCGCTGAGAGAAGAAGGCGCGCGCGCGAGCGCGTGCAGGCGTACTTTCACCGACCGTGACTTCTACCCGCTTCGGCGCGCCGACCGCCGTGGCGTTCCATTCGACGAGTTTCACAGATAAAGAGGGTAATAGAGACGATGTCGCCACGTAGGTTACTGGAACCCGTTTCCACGGGCGCGCCGAACGAGAGTCACGGGTGTTACTACCACACGCGTCCACAGGCCGCAGCGCCGCCGTAACGCGTCTCTCTCTCGTAATCACCGGAAACCTTGCCGAGGAACTCGCCCGGACAAATTGCGCCACTTGGCCGCGGTGTTCCGCCCGCGATTCCGGCCTTCCTCCGTTCGCTCTTGAACCGAGATGGTTTTTTCTGCCTGTTTGCCCATGTTTCGCCTGAATCCCATTTATTCCAGCCGACATAACCTCGAAAACGATATTGGAGGAAGATTATTCGTGAACTTTGCCGAGAATACTATGCAAAAATCGGTAATTTTCGTGTAAAATGATGGAATTATGGAGGAAGAATCGGTAACGAAACTCAGACCTGAACCTCCTGTTTCGTTTGGATCTACATATATTAAGGAACATAACCTAAAAAAGAATACTTTAGAAACTTTACTGATGGACTTTAGCGAACACATTCCGCGGGAATCGGTAATTTTTATGTAAAATTGGAGAAAAGAATCTATTACTAATCCAGACTTGACCCCTGTTTCGCCTGGATCGATCCATCCCAGCGAATATAACCTGAAAACCGATGCTGGAATAATATCACCGATGAACTTTGCCGAGTACTTTATTAAAAACTTGGTGATTTTCTGTATAAAATGATGGAAATATGTAAAAAGAATCGGTACCTAACCCAGTTTTAATCCCTATCTCGCCTGAATCTATAGATAACCTCGAAAACGATAATGCAACTATAGTACCGATCGACCTTGGCGAATATTATTAACTAGTAATTACTAGTCAAAGCCAGAATCTTCACAAACATCCCCAAAAAGTAGCAATTGCTGTCGAAAACTGGCAAAGTATTTGTTGGAAACTGAGAATTAGCGTAGAACGAGTGATTGTCGATGTATTATTAGGTGTACCAATAAGTATTCCACTGCTTTCCTTAAAACTGCATCCTATTTAAAATAATTCAAAATCCTATCCCATTTCGCCAAGTATTCGTCAGTCATTTGTCTTGACTAGAAGATTAGAAAGATTTGCTGAATTTAAAATGTATTGCTATTATATTGGAACTACAGTAAATCCTCGATGAGTGTTCGAAGGCTCCCCGTCACAGAACATTAAATATTTTATAAACTATTTTATAACTTGGCTTAAAAAGTCAGCCTGTGACCTCTCCATGTCAGTGCCGAGGAGCCTTCGAGCACTCATCGAGAATTTACTGTGCAGTGAGAATTTCATACTGGTGCCAACTGATATTTTATTGAAATTTCACCAGTTATCTAATTGCGAATACTTTATTCTTGCAGGCAGGGACGAACTGTCGCAGCCTGGATCCTTGAACGGGTATGGAAGCAGCGGCGGAGGAGGTGGAGGAGGGGGCGGAGGAGGCGGGGCGGACGGTTGCGACGCCAGGAAGAAGAAGGGACCGACGCCTAGGCAACAGGAGGAACTCTGCCTGGTCTGCGGGGATCGGGCGTCCGGTTATCACTACAACGCCCTGACCTGCGAGGGCTGCAAGGGCTTCTTCCGGCGCAGCATCACGAAGAACGCGGTCTATCAATGTAAATACGGGAACAATTGCGAGATCGACATGTATATGAGGCGTAAGTGCCAGGAATGCAGGCTGAAGAAGTGTCTGACCGTCGGCATGAGGCCGGAGTGCGTTGTGCCGGAATACCAGTGCGCTGTGAAGCGCAAGGAGAAGAAGGCGCAGAAGGTAGTGATCCGATTGCAAAAGTACATAAAGTTTGTCCGATATAGAGGGTGTCCCAATTAAATCGACCCACTCGAATATCGATATTAAAAAATATTTCAGACCAAAAGTTAAATGATCTCAAGAGGCACACTTAGAGGCCATATGGAGGTCAAGTTTGTTTTCTTTAAATGGAATCGTATATTTTTTAATGCGCTATTTGATGCTATACGTTATTCCCCACATAAAGTGCTGAGTCACTTATGGCGAATTAGTGCATTAAAAAATCTACGATTCTGTTTATATATATATATATAAAAAAAAAACAAAGTTGACCTTCAAGTGACCTCTACGCGTTCAGGTAGAAGAAAGTTATAAAAAAGCGTGCCCCCTTGATGCCATTTAATTTTTGTCTAACACATTTTTTTTATATCTTCAACAGTTTCGGAAATATTCGAGAGTGGATCGATTTAAATTGAACACCCTATATATATATTGTTCTTTATTTACCATTTTGGGAAGTACCGTCGCGTAGAATCTTGTCGCTGATCGACGACGAACAATTTTTTGGATGCTTCAGATATTTCAAATGCTTCATTTGGCATTGCAGGAGAAGGACAAACCGAACAGTACAACGATGAACGGTTCGCCGGGCAGCGGGATACGGCCCGATCCAATGGGCGTGAAGATCGAGCCAGCGGAGGCCGAGGCCTTGTCCACGTCCGGCAGCAGCGGCATCCTAACGCCGGTCAGCCCTTACGCCTACGTGAAGCCTATCAGCCCCGAACAGGAGGAGCTGATACACAGGCTCGTGTATTTTCAGAATGAGTACGAGCAACCCAGTGAAGAGGATCTCAAAAGAATCACAGTAAGTAGATCAGCCAACTCCATATCTACCAACTTTTAGGGATAATTCCGTATTCCCTCTCTATAAACCTGTTGTTCATACTAGAAGTTAGCTCACATAGGCGTAGCCAAGTTATCAGTCGAGGAGGCAAAATTTATCTTAAGGTAAATTTCCTAGTACAGTAAATCATCGATGAGTGTTCGAAGGCTCCACTGAATTGTCAAACGTCATCCCTACCACTGGGGGTCCCCTGTGTAACCAGTCGAGCACCCAGTAGTGGTAATGACGTCTGAACACTCATGGATGATTTACTCTATTATTTTTCCCTTTCAAGTAAGGGGGGGGGGGAATTCATTTTTTCACTTCTGATGTGGAGCGAAGGCCACCTTTTTCCCTCCAGGGGGGTAAGTGTCCCCCAGTCCCCTGACTACGCCCATGTTAGTTCCTCCTTATTTGCCTTATATTGTCTTTGATCCGTAACCAAATGTTCAAGTCAGTGAATGCTCCCTACAAGTAATGGCAACAATATTCCATTCCAGAATCAGCCATCGGAAGGAGAGGATATCAGTGATTACAAGTTCAGGCATCTGACCGAGATCACGATCTTGACGGTGCAGCTGATCGTCGAGTTCTCGAAGAGGTTACCGGGCTTCGACGAGCTGCTGCGCGAGGATCAGATCGCACTGTTGAAGGCCTGCTCCAGCGAGGTGATGATGCTACGTATGGCGAGAAAGTACGACGTACAGACGGACAGCATAATATTCGCGAATAATCAGCCGTACACAAGGGACAGCTACAACGTGGCGGGTATGGGCGACACGATCGAGGATCTGTTGCACTTCTGCCGGCAGATGTACGCCATGAAAGTGAACAACGCGGAGTACGCGTTGTTAACGGCCATTGTTATATTCTCAGGTAAGTGTACACGATATACGACCATTAGTAGAGCATCATAGTTCAGATCCAAAGAACTAAATTAACCTTGAATCTAGTCCAGTGTTTCCCATCCTTTTTTGGATCATGCCCCACCTGAACGTCTCAGAGATCTCGGTACCCCCTAGCATTATAGTAAACAGAGTTCTGAAAACGTTCAATAGCTGCTTCAAATACAAAAGGCACGTAGGTGAAACTGTTGCCGACGAGGTGACGAATGTCAATGATTTGCTAATTGCCTCCAAGAATATTAAAATTGCCCCTCGGTTGGTTACACTTGGGAAACACTGATCTAGTCAAACACCATAAAAATTGTCTCATCTTCCATCCGCACGCATTCTGATGCATCACTGTGAGAAAGTTCGGGGTAACGCAGGAACAATTACGGTTCAGTGAAGACGGCTGACACGAACATAACCTAAATGTCAAGAAATTTACAAACTAATGAACTTTCGACCCTAAAGTTTCGAATGACAGTGTAATCACTACGTCAGTCACCAAGAAACTGTGTATCATTCCTGGTCAAACCTCTCACGTTCTGAAAAATTCACTCTACGATCAATAGACCATGTTCTCGCGGTTAGTCTGTTTGAAAGAACGCCCCAAGAAAAAGGGAAAACGTCCCATTCTTTGTTTTCCAGAGAGGCCAAACCTCCTGGAAGGTTGGAAGGTCGAGAAGATCCAGGAGATCTACCTAGAGGCATTGAAGGCGTACGTGGACAATCGTCGTAGGCCGAAGTCCGGCACGATATTCGCGAAACTGCTGTCCGTGCTGACGGAACTACGGACTCTCGGCAACCAGAACAGCGAGGTGTGCTTCAGTCTGAAGTTCAAGAACAAAAAGCTGCCAGTTTTCCTCGCCGAGATCTGGGATGTGACACCCTAGTTCCCCCGTAGCCGGTCACCGGCGCCCGCGGCGCCGATCGGCTAAAAATAATCCAGTGTTTACGAGAAGAAAGATAAAAATGAAGACGAAAGAATCAGCAGCAGTCCCCGTGCGACGTCGAAGACGACGCTGGATCGCAGCGAGAGAAAACACTTGTACTAGAGTGCATCATCGTCCCCCCCAGCAGCATGCCACTGCCGCCGCCCTCAGCGTCGCGAATCGACCGAACGCCGTGGTTACTTTTTTTTTTTTTGTTTCTGAAGAGATCCGCCGTGTGCAAGATCCCATTCTTGTATTCGTGGTTTTTTTCTTAACCTGTAAAGACCACGAAGTGTGGCCTTCGAGCCCACCAGATGGCGCGGAGATAGTTCGCCAGATGGCGCGGAGGTGGTAGCCCAAACCCGTGGATGGGGGGGAACGGAGCTCGAGGAATAAAAAAAAGAAAAAAATGGATGAAAATATAATAATGATCGAAGGCAGTGGCGAGGCACCCAGGCTGTGATACGTAGAGACAGTACAGAGACTGTAATAAGGAGCTATCTACAGTTATGTTATTACTATATCCTCTACCTGGCTACTCCCGGAATCGATATGTAAATGTCTTAATTGTATAAGGTACAGGTTTAAGGCAGGCGCGCGGCGTTGTTGTACCCGAGAGAGGATGATTCTAGCGAGAGAGTAGGTACGAATGTAACCCCTGACGAGATAAGGACGCAGGGGGAAGAGGTGCGAGAGAGATTGATTAGGGGAGTGAGTGTGTGAGAGATATTCGTGTGTGTGCGTGTAATCAGGTGTGGTGTGTGGATGATAAAAAAAAATATATACATATATATGATTATCGCCACTTGTAGCCGTGCCGGGGAAGAACAAGAAAATGAATAGGAGGTCCCGGGGGCCAGCTGTTGAGCAGCGACACACCCGGGGATTTGGTGGTCGCCCGTGAAAACAATATTTCGTTCCGAATTTGTGTGCGCGAAGTAACAGACAAAATGAAGAATAAAACAAAAAACGATGAATACGATTATACATAAATGAAAATACCATAGAGTCTATATCACAAAACACATAGCATAATAATATATTGCTAGCATGTACATTGTTTATACGAGAAATGGGGAAACGGGGGATAGTGAGAGTGAGAGAGAGTGAGATTGCTGAGAGAGAGATGGTTTGCTGCGTTTAGTTTTTTGAGGGGTGATCACGTCGAATATATGAGCAAAGGAACTTAGAGTTTCCTTGAAGGGAAGGCGATACACGAAGATTGGTCGAAGACGACGAGGCTTTGGCATTTGCGCGACGTCTTGGAGATTTTCTTTTCTCGCGAGTCGCGTGCGACTGGATGTGAAAATGGGGAGAGAACGCGCGTGTGTGTGTGTGTGTTTGCAGGGCAAGAGAGAGAGAGATGAAGGGAATAACGTAGTAGCAGAAGAGTAAAAAATCGTAGGAAGTAAGTAAGAAGTTAAGTAAGCGAGGCTAGTTTGGTAGTAGGCTGTAGTAAGTCAGTGAAGCTAGGCTAGGTGTGACCGAGAGTTCAAGTGCAAAGCCTTGTGCCTTCAGCAACGGACATCGGCTCACCGACAAAACGAAATCATGAAATTTAACCGTCCGTTTTAATTTTTTAATAAGAAGAAAAAAAAGAAGTGGAAAAACGAAATCAACAAAATCAAGTTAAGAATGTCGCGTGAATATGTGGAAGAGCGAAAGAGAGAAAGAGAGAGAGTGGATGAAAAACGTGGAGTAAAATTATTTAGACGGTGAAGAAGTGAATGGGGTGAAAGCGAAAGAAGGAGATCGAGTAAATGAAGACGCAAAATTGACAAGAGAGTATGTATGGGTGAGCAGGAACAAAGATCTTAAACATGGAGAAACACGGAACAGGGTCGCGAAGGATGGGGTAGAACAGAGTTGGAATTCGATCCAAGGACAATGAGATCGGTTTGTTGGGGATTCTAAGATTCGTTGGATCCCCAGGTGGCATAATAAGCTAGCATAAAAATATCGTTGACAAAAAATACTAAGGGAGCCGGAAAGAAATTGCGAACAGTAGGCTGCTCCTTGAGATAGAGACTCAAAACAGGAACGGAGAGTATCGAAACACGTACAGACGCAATTATAAACGGCGCGCACATCGGCAGAAGTGGACAACCGGATAGATACGATCGACACGTACCTACATACACTACACACACATACATACACGCCGTTACAGGTACATGTACACTAAGATTCTCGATGTTGTAACACTGTAACTCTATGCTATTAACTGATTATACGTAGTAAATACCAGTTGCAAAGTTAAACGAAAAAACATACTAAGAAACGTAAAAATTCGTGTATAACAGAGTGAGAGAGGAGCTAAAGAATGGAATGACACGAAGAGATGCAAAGCGAGGGAAGAAGAGGCATGAGTTTCGATGCAAAGAAACAGTCTAATGTGAGCGCGTGAAAGCGGACAGAGCTGGATAATAGCGCGACAGTTCCATACGTAGAACAGAGAAAAGGACTAACCAGTAACTTCGCATAGGACGACTAGAAAAAAAAAAAACATCATCGTATACACGTACTGTGTGTTTTACCATTGTAAACATTATATTTGTCACACACACACACGTTGAACGAGGCAAATGAATATCAAGCCAGTGCACACATCGGCGTCGTTATAAGTGTGTGTATATGTCGTTTTTTGGACTTTCGTCCCCTAAGAAGGGACGGTCTCCCCGCGGTTCGGATTATCACCGTGCCACGCACGAATCGCGACGACGGAACAATCATTTTAAAGCGCACCCTCCAAATGCCTGGTTATTATGGCCTGGCTCGAACCTGGGCAAACGACACACCCGCCCTCGAGATACCAAAACAAGAAGTACCGTGTACACTAGCTAAAACGCCGCAAGGCCGACACTGCCACACCGCAGAGTGTACAAGAGTGTACAATTTTAACGAGACACATGGATTGTTCCTCCGATACATCAACGAGGGGAACCTCTTGACCATCATCTGGAGACGTTGTTGGGAAAGTTCAGTGTAATCCGCGTTTTTTTTTTTTCTTACCTCTTCCGTCGTGGGCATTTGGATGCAGGCTTTTAGAGACCAGCTGGCGACAAAGAACGATTTTTTTTTTTTTCTTACCTCCTCCGTCGTAGGCATTTGGATGCAGGCTTTTAGAGACCAGCTGGCGACAAAGAACAAACACGTGTGGGCCAGTGGAGCTGACGGAATCGTTGAAAGTGGGAATGTGTCTCGAAGAGAACACCAAGGACACCGGGACTTTGAACCCGAGACCTATGATTTACGACCTGAGACCTGGAACTGCATTTGGACTGAAAGGAGGCACACACTGATAGGTCAATTTGGTCCTTCAGGTTTATTATCAAAGGAAGAAGAAGATGACGTTATGATGAGCCCACTAGATCGGTAAAGAAACACCAAAAGCTTCAGAGTCTCTCAATAAAGCGGAGAATACCTGGCCCAGCGGCAACGTCATCGGGATAGAGGGAACATCCACCTGTACAGAGACACACAAAACGACAAGAAACACTTGCACGCTACCTGTACTCTGCATTGTTGTACCAAACACACAGACACACACAAACATTCGCGCCATCTCACCATATATCGAGTGCTTTCAGACACATCGCCGTTTTTTTGCGAGAGGAACAGAGTAAAAGAGAGAATGTGTAATGGTGAATGTAGAAGGGAAATAGGGGATGGATGGGTTTTCTTAAAGACACACCAGCGCATTGTGACGATGTTGCCTATTATTATACATCTTTAAAGTAGCCGTGCGTCGTCGATCCATGGCCAGGGGGCCAATGTGTTACCAAAAGGGTGTCCCCCATGGGTCGGCGATCGTCTAAGAAAGACACGTTCGTTTTTGCGACTCTGTAATTCTTAATGAATAACGTTTAAGTGTACTGCGCGCGCAAGAAAGAGAGAGAGAGAAAACAAAGCTTGTAAAATCGTCTACTCGAGACTTCCTTTCGATTTTGCTTTAGGTGAACCACTTTGCTAGATATGTAATCTGTTCACAAAAATCGCTCTTTGGCTGTCCCCTGGCACGCGTCGAGCAAAGACCCACTGTTCACTCCAGAGATTTGGCTCGGTCTACAACCCCAAGCAGACGAGCTCCTATCCATCGTTCCATTCATCTCTACCTGTGTGACAATTCTGGCCGAACCTTGTGACTTTAAAAACACTCCAATCATCCGGCCATCTTAGCCCACTACAAATTTCTAAATTACATACCTCGTTGGAAGGTGATCGGAGCTCGTCTACTCGGTAGGAACACTCGAATTTTGGGTAATCCTGCTGGCTAAAAAACACGCCAAGTCAAGAAAAGTCGTGCAATAAAAAGGATTCAGTAAGAAGAGAACACGTTGGTCTTTGCGTGTTCAGGGGACTAGACAGCCAGGTCGAACTGACCCAGGCAAGAAAACACACTCCCGGGGAATGGGGATAGAGAGTGGATGATGATCCCTGTACCTTTTAAGCGCAGAAAATAACAAAAATCGTCACGGACCGTCGACGGCAGGTCGTCAACGCGACACACCGTTTCGTAGAGGTTAGGACCCGGTTCTCGAGGCAGGCTTCCCCGTTAAACGAAGGATCCCAGTGACCAACATGGACACGCACCGTGATTCCCGATGCCATCTACCTAATACTAGGGTAGATAGAGGACAGGGTTGGGTAGGAGTCTGACAAAAAAGTGGAATTGCGTCGAAGCTGGATCCCCCGGAGCAACATTTTCTCTTGGGGCCGCTTTTACGTTGAGAGATTCGCCTGGGGTGGGGGGCGTTTTGGTGCTCGGGAATCAAGGTGAACCGCATCCATCGGCGGATCAGAAACCGGTAATACGTTACTCCGCGAGGGAACGAGAGAAAGAGGCTGAGTGAGTAAGAAAGAGAGAGAAAGAGTGACCGAGGAGTGCAAGGGAGAAAGACTGGTGGGGTGGGGGAAAGGAGAGTGGTGGGGAGAGGGATTCAGAGCCGAGTGGAAAAGGGGAGAAGCTGTACACACCGGCACACACGCAGACACGCGCAATATATAGAGACACATATACACACGCCACACGTACACACACGAGCAACAAAAAAAAAAGATAACATGCAATTCTACGATCACTGCCAAGGGCGTTAACCGTTGACGTCGATTTCTCATTGTCTAAATGTTGACATAGGGACATATTAAGGATAAAACGATTTAAAAAAAAAAATGCAAAAATATATATAACGTATATATATATATGTACACACACACGCGCCGCCCGCTCGATTTCGAATTGCCGTTTTAGACGAGGACGAGCGAGCGATTTGTTCATGATACTGCCAAGCGTAGACTCGAGTTTCTGTGTTTTTTAAGGGACAACTATAATACTCCTTTTAAATGTCGATCCATACACACTTACCGTTGTACACACTGAAATATTGCGCGCGTGCGCGCGCTCATCCAACACATTTACCACATGCATACAACACATGTACACACACACACACACACACGCTCGCTGGTACGTACCATATGTACGCGCAATCTCTCTTGTCTGTTTGTCCGCCCGGGTATACCCTGATCTGTCCGTTTCTCCTAGGTGTCTATTTTGCCTGTATGTACATAAAATTATACGCAAAGACGTACGTGTAAATATGTATTCGGTGATATCAGGTCACGGAGTCACGGCTACCGCGTTGTTCTGGAACGAAATCGCGAGACTAGGACGACTGTCCGAATTTTTCGGCGGGGGATTCGGTCTTGATGATCGTTGGGACACTTTGGGTATAGCTAGAGACAACTCCGTGTTTTTTATTGCTAGAGGTCCCAGGTCTGGTGGCTGAAGCAGGGAGACTTATTACGCTTCTATGTCCTGGGACTGTTCAGACCAGATAGATTAGACAACTCTGGACACTTGCTAAGTCCTGGAGGATATTTTGGACCTAAATGCATGATGATAAGTCTACAACTTCAGACCCCCTAGTTTGGGATCATCTTCAAAACTGGACCGAGTCTTCATATGCTCCTGATGAGATATGTACCTTTCAACTCGTTAACTATAGTTCATTTGGTCAGTGACTAGAGATTTTAAGAAATTAGGACAGCAACCTCTACAAGATTTTAGGTCTGGGAATATCCTGCATGATTTCGTAATGTCCTCTTTCAAAGATTCTTGGATTGAAAATTTCTATAGTTTCTCGAAACAACTTTCTTAAAACCAGTTGAATGTTAGATTCAAAGTCACCCAATTGTGTTTTGCCTGCAGGTGTCTCTTCACAAGAGAATCCTGACCACAGAAGTTGCTTAGTACCCTACCATCTGTATTGTGTGTGCTTGAAAAGACAATCCTGGTGACCAGGAGTCTCTTAGCACTCGATCATCTATAGGGTGGCTATTAAAAAGAGAATTCTGATCACAGGAATCTCTTACCACCCAAACTATCTACAGGGTGTCTCTTAAAAAGGGAATCCTGATGACTAGAAGCCTCTTAGCACCCAACCATCTATAGGGTGTCTAAAAAAAAAAAGAAAGAAGACGATCTGTGTCCTCTTCTCGCTTCCAGTGTGACCATACAGTGTCCAATCTATTCGAGACAGCAGTCGGTCGTCGTGAGTTCCGTAACCTGATGCTATTTTCGTTTTCGCGTAGAAACGAAAAGAAAGAAACGATCATTCGGCCCGCAAGTTCCGTAGTTCGCTGACAGGCGGTGTTGAGATTCGGTATTTTCTCATTGGAGGTTATGTAACCTTGTTCGGCCCCGCGAGAGAAAGGGAGAGAAAGATAGTGAGAACGTGAATGAGAGAGAGACAGAGAGAATGTGAGCGAGTAAGAGATGAAGGTTCTTGTTGTTAATCGCGAGACACGGAGGGAGCCGTTTTAATTTATTGGAAGCTGTAGAAAACGTGAAAACCGAACGGAGAGGAAGCTTATGAGCTGAAGATTATTATAAATAAAGTTAAATGATTATACTTTGTTATGGTAGTTCATATGTTATTTTTCTGGGTTTACTCGCGTCACGGAAACACTCTGTCCGCGAATTTTCTCTCTCGTCAAGGATTGTACTTGTACATACTGTGTTTGTAAACGAGAAGAAAGAAATGTAAGGAGCCCTGAGAATTTTAATCGTACCGGTTAATGTGTTCTTGCACCCTGTCCGGATACATTGAGAACAGTGTCGCGAAGAATTTCGAAAAACAGCAAGAAACATACTTTTTTTTTTATAATAATTTGAATGTATAATATCGAAGTGTAAACAATTTTGAAGTTCTTTGCGAGATTGGCTCTTTGTTTACCATATCCTGACTAACAAAGTTCAAATTCGATATTGCTCTCGGTTGTAACCTGATACCCAGGGAATTTCGAGAAAGATCCCTAGAATTTTTAAATCACTGGAATTTCGAAAGAATCTGAGCAAATATATCTACACGGTCCTCTTACGGTCGCTACAATTTTTTTCAACAAGATCAGGTAAATTTTCATTAAACAATTACTAATATAAACTAACAAAAAAGAAATTTTCGGGGCTGCCAGTACTAACACCAAAAGTACACCAAACCTTTTTTTTTTTTGTTCTTGAATCTGATTCCAATTGTACGAACACCGTTTAATCGAAAATTAATGTCGCTGTTAGGCATACGAATGTCGGAGTGGCGAAAACGGGAGAGGGGAGAAAGAAAAGTGACGAAGCCTGACGCCCAACAGATCGCTATAGTAGCCCCGCCCCGTCGTGTATAGTGGGCTTAGAAAAAATTGTGTCCCCATTGGATGTACCCTACCGGCCAATAGGGAGCCTCCTCGTTGCTTGTCACTTTAAGACCTGCCCTCGTCGGATGTGCACCCGGTCGACTTACTACTACTACTACTACTTACTATCGCTAACTATTATTACTATTACCGCTGCTGTTACTGCTGCTATTACTACTACTACTACTAATAACTTAACACTCACGTTTGTACTTGCAACTCACACGGAACTAACGCAGAGAGAGAGACACACGAAGAAAAAAAGGCAAAAAAAAAATACATGGACGACACACACTACATTTTCGCGATCGTTCGAGGAGGAGGAGTATAGTTGCTGTATCACGGTGATTAGTTGACTAT